TTTATTAATAGAAGCTAGAACCATTTTTATATAAATTAAATAACACAATTTTAACCAGCAATGTTGTTTTAAGATGGTCTTTAATAAACACAATTAACATTGATTAGTATTTGACAAAATCCATTTCACAAAGATTCCATTTCAGTTAACGTTACGAAACACCGACCAGAACACATCTCATATTAAATAGACCTGATATCATCGCATGCAAGCTTGTAACTCTTTATACTGTAATTATCGAAGCTCTCAGATTGTGTTATTTAATTTATATAAAAATGGTTCTAGAATTTAGTTAAATAGCTAAAACAATTTTAATATACGTTTTTATATAAAGAAAAAATGTTCTAGTAAAATAACTATAATGATGTATTATTAATAGATGTATTCTTAAACGTTTGGAACTTTCGACAAAATCACATGCAAACATGAATTTAACGTCACGCTAAAAAAAATTTTGAATACCTAATTGTTTGACAGGAAGATCATTCAACAATTTTACTTTTTTTTTGTACGCATCTTATTCAGAACAATATAAATCTATATACGACGCGTTCTATTTAAAATTTATAGATTTAAAATTATAGATGAAATAATAAACTATTATACATATATCTAATGATTTCTCTTTGGCCTATCTTTTAATTAATTATATTAAATTTTTATTATATACTAATAATTGGTTCACATTATTATATCCTATTTTTTTTTACATATGCAGTGTTTTTACATTATGTCGCATGATCTTATAGCACCTACAGTTATCGTTGTGCGTATTGTATATTTGTATTTATTAAATGTAGGAAATCTAAAAAAAATAAAATAAAATAAAATCTACGAACGACGAGGATACGGTATTTTTTTTCTATTCCATCGATGAATTAAAAACCGTTCTTAAGGAGCGTAGTTTTCCCACAGAATAGCCCGTATAAAAGAGATCCCGGTAATAATAGGTTACCGTCAAGACTCGCTTCTCTAGCCACGTCTATTCAACCTGTCATTCGCGTTTTGCGGTCGCTATTGTGATTTGCAATGGTAACCCTTCGCACATCCTGTCTATTGTCGCGAAAACGCTCGCTCGCGCTCGTATACCGCTTCCTCCTTTCCTGCATGTTCCCTATTTTTCCCCCGCTTCTTTGCACTTGTTCAGGAATTCTTTATCTGTCTCTTCAACCTCTTCTCCATTAGTGATTGTACTTGCACAACCGTAAACATTGCATACGCAAGCACTTCATTATACGAACAGCTCTATACTTTTGTAATAATAATGTTACACATAAGTATACCTCTATTTTTTTTCCTCGAGAAAATAAAAGCATTATTTGAAAGTTTTTCGAAAAGTAAATGCAATTTAATGAGAGGCAAAATCTTTATGTAAATTATAAATTTTGTTTATCTTATCATAAAAGAAAAAAAAATTGTTACGTGAAATTGAAAGTTACAAGATTCCGAAGTATTTCGTTTGTCTTTCCTATTCACCCTTTAGAAGCCCTAAGAAAATAAGTATGTCGTAGACGTACAATATATAGAGCAAGTGAACCGTGTAAGTAATGGTTATCCCAGGTCAGTCCCGTGAGCAATCAGAACGGAACAAATTGGGACAAGAGCGATTATCAAGTCCCGCAGGGCGGTTTTACATTGTGCGGCGGGCGACATATGGTTGACGGTTCGTTACTATTTTGTGCACAACTTGCTTAAATACCGTGAAACTTTTTCGTCGTTCGCAACGGAGGCAGGAAAGGGATGGTAGGAAGGAAGCTAGCGTGGAGCATGTAAGTAGCATGTGAGACCGTCTCTCTATTTCTTCGCTACTTCCTTCGTGCGGACGCCTGATTGTAGGTTCCGGACTATATCAATTGTACTTCCTTTCTGGTTAGAGACTTGCTGGCTTCCGCTCGTACGTTGAAGTTCGCTCGTGAGATGCACATCGCGTAATATACAATACAATTTTATTTTTTCGACATCTGGCAGGATTGTGGCGGCCTTAATAATATTTATATGCGTTCTACCGAAAGAAGAGAAATTAGTCAATCGATTGATCATGGACATTATAGTTGTTTTGCATTATTTAATGCTCAACAACCATAACGCTAATTGCATCTTTCGTGCAAAAGCGAGTCCTCTGTACGGAGGGACGTGTTGACTGAATAATTTGCAGCCACGGCAACTACGCGCACACGTGTTAGCCTCGACAATCTCGAAAGTGGTTAAGCATTAAAGCCGAAATTCCTGGCTAACCGTGCACCAGAACGACGGACGGTAACGTCGACGACGCCTCGAGGCGGTGCAGTTGCAGGCAGCGAGCTGCAGCGAGATAGGCTAACGTCATAGGCCGTCCCTGGGGTGCAACTATGCCTTTGGCTTTGATGTTACCCACGGTTACGTCACGTGATCGTCCGCTATATCGCAGTTAATGGCCGGGGCCGCATAGGAACGCGGCATTATCGAAGGGAGTTTAAAGGGACTCGTGGAAGCGGTGGGGGGGGGGTGAAGGGGGAGGGCTAGAAGGGCGAGTAGAGCCGCGGGTGCATCCGGCGAGGCGGAAGTCCCGGACAGCCTCCGGATGCTTCGTGGCGCCTACGGCCAGCGCATAGACTTATAAGATAGACTGCGCGGCCCTTTGTTCTCGGTGAAGCAGAAATCGAAAGCGAGAGGGCTACACGCCACACTTCTCTTGTCCTTGTCCGGCACGGCTGACGGCGGCCGGCGCGGCGCGGGTCTCCCCTCTTTTCTTCTCCCCACCAACGATTGAATAAGGACAAGAGAAGTGTGGCGTGTAGCCTCTCGCTTTCAATTTCTGCTTCACCGAGAACAAAGGGCCGCGCAGTCTATCTTATAAGTCTATGGGCCAGCGAGACACATTCGCGCTGCACCGACGCATCACGCAAATGCAATTATCCGCGACGATTCGACCGCTCGCGTCTGCGAACGACGCCGCAGCATTGCAGTATTGCGTTCTGGGTGGCGGGCGCTACGCGATGAGGCGACATGGAAAATCACGCATAAATTATAATACAAGATCAAGGCTAGCCTCAGTTTTATCATATCTGCGCGACATTTAAATATTAGCAAGCCTAAATAAGTTAATATATGAGTTATTTAGTACTTATGTACATGTAATATAAATATATTAAAAGTTAAAGGAGCATTAAAATCTTAGCTAGATATTCGTGCTATGTTTTTTATTTAATTTATTTATCAATATTACGTACATTTCGACCCCTATCGGGTCCTCTTCAGCACGTATAATAGTTAATATACAGTTATCATTATTTTCCTGTCTGCATTATTATTGTATGATTTGTGTTATTACATTTCTATCGACTTATATTTCGCATTATTCTATTAGTTCCTATTAAGATGTGTCGTTTTTACATTATGTCTTTTTTCTCATGTCCGTATTTTTAACTCGTTGTACAAAGGGTTGACTGACCATGTCCACTTCGGTGTCATTTAGTTTCTGATTGTTTCGTGTATGTCCATGTGATAAAATGAAGTTATGAGATTGTCACCGTAACAATTTTTCTGAAGTGTCACGATTATCAGCAAGTGTGTATTCACAATTCGGATTGGCACATGGTATTATACAAGTCTTTTTATATATTAGATGTGTGCTTGACGCTGTTAACTGAATGTGGTTAGTCAACCTTTTGTACAACGAGTTAAAAGTACGGACATAAGAAAAAAGACATAATGTACTCGTAAGAACGGCACATCTTAATAGAAACTAATAGAATAATGCGAAATATAGGTCGATAGAAATGTAATAATTAGTTTATCGAACCATATAGTAGTAATGCAGACAGGAGAAAAATGATAATTGTATATTAACTATTATACGCGCTGAAGGGGACCCGACAGGGATCGAAACGTACGTAATATTGATAAATAAATTAAATAAAAAACATAGCACGAACATCTAAGCTAAGGCTTTAATGCTTCTTTAACCTTTAATATTAATAAGTTACTTATTTAATTGAATTTAAATATAGAATTCTACGACAGCACGATAATTTGTATGATAAACTAATTGAAAATTTTATTTCTAAACTTTTATTTCTATAAGTCTTCTCTATATTTGTGTGTTTGAAGGATTCATCCTTATTTTCCTTCTTTGAATAAGGTCAATCAGCGTAAATATTCATGTTTCTTTTTTATTACGTCAACATTTGCATAATTCTATATGTCGGCGAAATGAGATATTTTCAATTAATATTAATTCTCAATATTAAAAACATATTTTTTTTTATATTCATATGCATAATGTTTAATTTTCACTATTTTTAATTTCTTTATTAAACATTTAAACAATTTTTTTCTTGCTATTTATTTTCTTATTGGTATTTAAACGTGTATGAATATGTTGCATGAATTTTACATCGATGATTCATCTCTTGATTTAATTCTTGATTTAAAATTCTTGATTAAAAATTTAAATTCTATGATTTTGGAAATTATAAAAATACATTTAAATGCAAGATTATTTATTGCTGCACTTCAACACGATGCACAATTATGATGTCGTTGTGTGTAGTCCGATTAAGTATTATTAGAATTGTTGCAGCTCGATTGCTACAACAGTTCTAATAATATTTACCGTAATTTATCATCGCATTGGCAACAAGTTACATGATAATTATTATAAACTTGTAGAATTGCTAATTGCATGATCTTTCGAAAGATCATCTGGAAACTTTCCTCTCCCCGGATGCATCCGCAATTCATCTTTCTTCCTCCTCCGCTTCTTCTTTCGAAAGACGATGCGCAATTGATAATTCTGCAAATTTGCAACTATTATTGTATAGTTTTTTGTCATGCAATGATAAATTGCGACAAATATTATTAGAATATTAACTGTTGTACCAGTCGGGCTACAACGGTTCTAATAAATCTGTCATAATCGTTCAAGATAAAAAAAACACTAAGAAATATCTTTTTTTCCTCACATGTTACGTCACAGCCATGAATATGTACATATGCCTACACATAACGTAGGTAGTTTTAAAGTTGCGGCTTCTCTTTGCTACCGCTTAGTCTGACTCGAGCAGTCGTAGGTGAAACACATTTGCTAAAGTGAAATTATGGCTCAATTGGAAATTAATCATTATACTTCAGAAATGGCTAGTAAGTACTAAATATATATGTCAAAAGAATTTAAAAAAATTCTTTAGAAGGAACTTACTAAAATCTCTTATCATTTTCCCTCAAAATTATTATATAGATTTCCCAGATGCAGGAATAATAAAGTGGTCATTGATATTCTCGCCGATGACAATGATTTTTCTATCGCTAGCCTATCTGAGCTTCGTCTACTTCATTGGCCCGCAATTTATGAAAAACAGACAACCGTACTCGTTGAAAACGTTCATGCAGTTTTATAATATTTTTCAAATTATTGCAAATTTTTGGCTAGTGTCCAACATTTATATATATGGTAGACCAATTGCTGTTTTGTGGAAATATTGCGAATCATTCGATGAAATGGTGGGCAGCAATTCTGAAAAGGTACATTAATTTAAATTGCTAAAGATAAGAAGGCCGGATATAAATTAGTATAAATTATATATTGGCTCATATTTTAGAATAAACCAGAAACTAGAGGAAATAAAGGCCAATAAACGAGTAAACGAAGATATTGTAATATAATTATATAATTTTATTCGATAAAATTAAGGCGAAACGTTTTGACTTTATTAACAATAAATCTTCTTCAGCCGCAAATACAAAATTTCAAATTATAATTAACTACATTAATCTTAGTCGGAGAATACAATGTTTCTTTTCTGGTATGAGTTATGGTGTCCAAGATTGAAACTTAAGATCGTTGTCTGAAGCCATCGTTGCTCATTTTTTCTTTTGACAATCTTTGGTAGTTGGATTCGATTATTGGGTGTCGACAACCAATCTAGACTCGTGCAGATTCCATTCCAATGAGGTTCTCTTTTGGCGTTAACCAGAGGAGATCTCACCAGTTATCAAAAAGATGACCGTATTATCATATCTAGAATTTTATCCGATAAGATTAAAGTGAAACGTTTCGACTTTATACTAACAAGTCTTCTTCAGTCATAAACACAAAAAACGATCTCTTTTTGGCAACTGGTGAGATCTCTGGTCAACGTCCTTTATCAAAAATTTTGTGTTTTGCAACTGAAGAAGACTTGTTAGTATAAAGTCGAAACGTTTCGCTTTAATTTTATCGAAAAAATTATATAATTATATCATTATATAAAATTATATAATATATTATATAATATATATAATTATATTACAACTCTTTGCTCGTTTATTAGCCTTTATTTCCTCTAGTTTCTGGTTTAAATTAGTTAAATGTTTGGGAATTACATAATAAATAATTGTTACTTACATACGATACACGTAGTAAACAGATAAATTGAACGCGCGAATTTAAAGAATAGATATAACTCTGGAAAAATTATGCAATTGACATGACGACTTTGCAAATGTAGATAGATTTAATTTTCTTGTTGCAGGTACTTCAAATTTTCTTGGGGCTACTAATACTTAAAATAATAGATTACACTGAAACTATAGTATTTGTTTTGAGAAAGAAAAACAATCAGATCTCCTTTTTACACGTATATCATCATCTTTCCACGGTTCTCTACGTGTGGGTCACGCTCAAATATTGGATTCATAGTCACCTCATGGTTACCACGTTGCTCAATTGTTTTGTACATGTTGTAATGTATTCTTATTATTTTCTGAGCACTTTTCCCAATTTACAACGAAGACTTGTACCATTCAAGAAGTGGATTACTAGAATACAAATGGTAAACGCTTAATCTAATTGCTCGATTTATTTGTCGATATTAAATATTACTCTTTTTACAACAGGCACATATTCTATTCCTGACGGCAATCAGTTTGGTAGGTTTTAGACCTAGCTGCGGCAATAAGAGTGCGAAATATTTTAGTGCCATGACATTTCTTAATGGCACGATAAACTTGTTATTTTTTTTCAATTTTTATACTTCTTATAAGAAATCGAAAACAGCCTGATTACGAAAGTACAATTTTGTTGAATGAGCACTGCTGCTGTCGGCTCAACAAGATTCATTCTCCTTCTTTTTATTGTAATAAAATATTGTGTAATAAATAATGTAATGTAATAAAATGTGCCTGTGCACACGTATGTATACATGTTGCTGTTATCATTCCACAATTTCCTGCATATTCATCATCTACAACGGCAAGTAGCGTGAAACGGTGTCCCGTAAACGGTCTTGCGTCTTGCATGCGAGAATATCTCGAAAAGTTGAAAGGCAAATAGTCGTACACAATCTGCGTGCATATACACGTGCTGCAGCGCACTCCGCCACTCCGGTATATCGCGCATTCCGGTCTCGTCCGGGCAGGTGATAGTATCTCACGAGTGCGCCTTAAGTGCTAATTTCGCGAGCGTCACATTTCCCACGTTTGACACGGCGAATCCTCGGGAGATCCCGCGCGTCCACGTCGATGTCTACACGCGCGGCGGCGTACATAATTCTGGATTTAGTGTCGCGTTAGGCCGTCTGAGTTTGAGGATCGTAGTCCCCCGAGTGGCGCGAGATACCGCATGGCCGGCCGTGCAGCCGTGATTTGTGGACGTCAATACGGGGGTTATGCGTGACGTATCTCACCGATCATAATTACATCCTGTTACTGGAGAGATCCCTGCGCCGCCACGGCCTCCTCCTTCCTCCTTCCTTCCTTCCTTCCTTCCATCCATCCGCTCGTATCGCTCGTACCGCGCGCTCGACCGTTCTCTCTATATCTATACAGGATGACATCCTCCAGAACTTTCTGATTTATCGATCCTGTAGAGGAATAGCTCAATCTTTCGCCGCCTTGTTGACAAAGCGTCGCGAATTTATTCGAGGAGATTATATCTTCTGTATACCGCCCAAACAGTTTCGATCGTAAGTTAATTTCTAATTATGCGTGCAGACAGATATCGCTTGGACGGGATATGAATATAAGGGTCGATTTTAGGTCGATTTTATGTCAAACGTATTGAAGAAGGGTATTTTCATGAAGATATTTTTATATGGATTTGCATAGATAGTCTCGATTTATTTACGTTTATTGCTCAGACGATTGCGAGTTTTTCTTTTTCTACGGACAGTGATATACGATATTTGAACGGACGTAGTTTAATTTCTATCAACACCTATATAGCTGCCTTGGAACGTATATTTCGACACTTCCAAAAGCTTCTCCTCCTTTCGATGTTCTTTGAGACGGAAGTCATAATCTTACGTGGCTGACAGGTAATAGCCGAACGCTTATTGTCGCCACCCTTTGGCCCGCGTACACACGGCTATTGTGCTGCTTTTTTATTTTTCTTACCGTCGCGTTTAATAGCGACAACATTGTCAGTAAATCACACGTAGACCTGTGAACCTAGCGCAACTCTGGGCGAGGCTATTAGTATAAATACGGTTATAATGCAGGCCCCAGGGGTTGGAAAGGGTATAAACAGCTAGTAAATCAAGACCTGCGCCCCTCCGGCAGCAGGGGTCTGCCACCGACTCGAAATCAGGGCGAACGTTTAGCGCCTCGCAATAGCGAGTCTTTTCTAATCGGCCGTTTTTGCCCGCCTGCTGCTCTTGCAGGTGGCCGTGTCGCGCTGACATTACTGTGTGCATTAGTATAAAACGAGTAGTATAAAATCGTCTCGATGCCAGTAAAAATTAATAGGTACGCGAAAAAAATTTTCTAAGCAAAATCAATGATATATGCGTATTTAATTTATTGTTCATTTCCAATGTAAGAAATTAAAAAATACGTATTTCATTTATTATTCATTTCCAATGTAAAAAAATTAAAAATTGTGTTTATTTTTGTTGAAATTGCATAAACGTTGCTTATGTAAAAATATTTAAAAACCGTGCAAAAAAATGATGTGATCTCAATGTCGATAAAATGACTCACGTATCCGGATTAACAATGCACATTTATACATTTGCTCAAATTTCTATCTCAAAATTCGCGTCCTTTCCGATTGATTATATTTTTCCTGATCTTGTAAAATAAAATAGGCCCTTGTAAAAGAGGGCATAAACGTTGCTTATGTAAAAATATTTAAAAACCGTGCAAAAAAATGATGTGATCTCAATGTCGATAAAATGACTCACGCATCCGGATTAACAATGCACATTTATACATTTGCTCAAATTTCTACCTCAAAATTCGCGTCCTTTCCGATTGATCATATCTTTCCTGATCTTGTAAAATAAAATAGGCCCCCTCTAAAAGAGGAAAGTGAAATGTAATTATTGACGAGAAAATATTGGGCAGGTGATGGGAGACACCGCGAGTCCAACTTGTACGGAGTCTCTCACGTAACATCGAGGACGTGTACCTCCGCCGAATTAATCCGCCATTAATATCTGCGCGCCGAGGCGGAAGAGCCGGTCGAGTGTGTAAAGCTTCTCTCTAAACAAGCGGTTCTAACAAATGGCGAGACCGTCCGCGTCCGCGTCTCCCGAGTGTGGCGCTCCTAATGCCGCGGCCATGTATGCATACGACCGGACCGGTGATTAATGCCGGCGTGGAGGGTCAAGATCCTCGTCGATTAATCAAATTAAGGGTGGAAGCGCGAGATAAAACTCGCGCCGCTGGAAAAGTCCGGCGATGCGGCCGATGAGAAATCGTCACCGTGCGCGCTCGCCCGTCCGATATTGGCCGGTGCGACCGTTGAAAGAGGGAAGAGCGTCCGGGGGAATCGCGCGAGCGCGCGTGTTGAAAAATGACGGACATGACTTATCTGTATCGAGGATTGCGCCTGGCGGCCGTTTGGGAAGAGGCGTGACCGCTGGGCCCTTAGAGCCTCCGAGCTCATTCTGAACCGAGTGAAAACTGGACGTTCTGGTCGCGTCGACCAGAGAGAAGGTATAGAAAGGGGCTTAAGATCTCTCGGGTGTAAACGGAAATGTGAAATATAGTCCCGATATGATCTACCCAAGTTAGCCCGTCCTGTCCATCGTTTTCCAACGTTGGTTCATCGCTCGTTCATCGCTTCCAGCCGCGCGAACGAGGGATACGGATAAATGCGTCTGATGAGAATCAAATACGGCACCTATCGCGTAACTGAATTTACGGGTCGTCGGGCGTTCTCATCGGCACCGCAGACGGACGCTATAGAATATAGATGGACCTCTTTCAGGGCGTCCGGCGGCCCCCGCGAATTACCGACGCGGCGGATCGGGCGCGGTGGGTTCCCTCGAAAACGATCAGTTAAGTCCCGCGCACGAATTCATATCTCGCGCATCGTTTGTCTCGAACAGAAGCTCCTCCGTGCAGGCACATTCGCCGGGGACGTTTGAAGCGATGAGCTGCGGAGCGAGAGAAAGGAGGGAGGGTGTTCGCCGTGAGTTCAGAGGGCGATCGCCGCGGCGTGCGTGTGTACGAGGGAAGGGGCGGGAGGGAACGGGCGTGAAAGAGAATGAGAGAGACAGAGAGCGGCCTCCTCCTCGTATTCGCAAACACGCAAATTTCAAAAGGCACTCGACTATGTGATGTCGCGGCGGGCATGAGCGACGGGGCTCTCTCTCCGACGACGTATGCAAATACAGATCGAGCATGATAAATTGCTCTTGTCAAGCCACCCGGTATTTCGCACGAGCCTATAGAAACCCGTTTATCGTCGAGGTACGGATTCCGCATATAATCTCGCCGACGACGGTTGAAGCAGCGCCGCGACGTGTCACGTCGCGCATCGCGACGGGGACGAAACTTTCGCGTGCACGCTTAGTCGGCGCCGCCGCCGATGACGACGACGACGACGACGACGACGACGACGACGACGACCATGGCGACGGCGACGACGACAATGACGCCGCGACGGAGTGCGACTCGGCTATACCTCCGGCGTCGTTATCGTTCGCCGCCGCCACCGCTGCGAATTTTAATGGAATAGTTGCGTTGTCGCCGCGAAACGATACCGCGGCTCGCGATTTGTCACGCCGGCAGAAACGCAAACGATCATTCCGTCCCTCTCCGAATACTCGTGGAAAGTTCTGACATGGCATATGAGTGGTATTATTAAGCGACAACCGTAATCTTGAAGATTCCGCTCGCCGCTCTTTTTTCGTACGACTTTCTTACGACGAACACGATTATCGGGGTTTTAAAATTAGAGAAATATATTGCATGATTTATTTAGCTCGAACGGAAAGTATCGCAAAATTAGACTTGTTACTTTTTTCTAACGTCCACTGGTCCACACATCATGTTTATCTATTCCTATAGTTTGCTCGTTAGTATTCCAGCTAGCCATTGCGAGACAGCGACTCGACAGCTGAGCTCTAGGGGGCTGCGATATTACCGTTCCCTTATGATTGCGCCGAGCTGTCAACAATGTCGCTGCACGAACTTGAAAAGGCTCGTGACGTTCTTCCGGAGGAGAGGATCAGTCTTTATTTCTACCGGTCGCGCGAAAGAAAGCTCGCCACGCACTCGATTTAGGTGTAGATTCCGCGTCTAAATCGTTTCATTACAAGATTTCGTAGGGGGTCCCGGCGCATCTGCATTAAACGGAGCCCGAAACCGGTTCACCAGCCTCGTATCAACCTAGTAAAACGTTCCTTTTTTCCACGTCGATTTATTGCTCGTCACGTCGTGAAAGATGTCGTCGACGAGCTCGCCACGGTTTAAGAATTGTTCTCGTCGAAACGGCGGATATGTATATATATATATATATATATATACATATACATATATACATATATACATACATACATACATACATACATAAATGTATGGATATGTATGTACGTTACGGAAAACAACCGGTTCTTGCGATAATCCTAACGGATTAGATATACATTAGTCTTAATTACGCGCGTTAATTTGAATAATTACTTCAATCTTATATAAAACAGGCGATTACGAATGTCATGTAATGACTATATCGACGCAACGACGTATAATAATTAATGTTAATATTGAAACTGTTTTAATAATCTCAGTTTTTTATACAGGAGCACTTTAAACTGTTAATTACCTCCCGAAAGTACTCCCATGCGGAGAGTCGCTCCCTTTTTCTTTCGCCAGAGATTTCGTTCTACATTTTTCGACGTATTAAACGCGCACTAATGTGCTTTCAGTACACGGGCTTATATAACCATTTCAGCTTGACGCATACACGCGTGATT